TTTCTTTAAGGCTTCCTCACTTTTGTCGGCCGGCTCTTTGCCGACGTTATCCAGGACCTCCATATCTTCGTCCTCAATCTCTACTGTTTCTGCTTCTCGCACGTTGTACGTGGATTTCATTGCTACCATGGAGCAATTCTTTACCTACACCTGATCCCTTCTGATCTCCTCAATTCCATACTCTATTGGGAACCGCAATAGCTAGTGCAATGTTGAGGGAACAGCCCTTACTGCGTGCAACCATGGCCTTCCCAAGATAACATTGTAAGGGGAGAGGGTGTCAATTATTGTGAACTCTATGCTTACCTTCTTGGTGCCTGCCTGCACCTTCAAATTTATTGCTCCCAAGGGCCATGTCGGCGTTCCATTGAACCCAACCATCAGGCTGTTGGACTGCTCCAAATCATCTCGGTGAAGGCAGAGTTCCTTGTAACATCTGACATACATGATGTCACAAGAGCTTCCTTAGTCAATTAGAATACGGCTTATCTAGCATTCTCCAATCTTGAGGGTCACTACCAAAGCATCGTTGTGTGGATGTTGCACCATGTCTAGGTTTGCTTTAGTAAAGGATACCATTTGTCCCTGGTGCTCGTTTGTCCTAGGCCTCTTTTGCTGGACTTGATACACATGTTGTAAGTGTTTCACCTTCTGAGTCTCTCCACGCACCTCGTTCTCATTGACCCTTAAGTGAATCACATTGATCACTCGAGGTCCGTCTGCTTGAGGTTGTGGTGCTGGTGGAGGTGGTGTTGCTGGTGCCTAGGGCAACCTTGCCTGTTCTTTCATCGTTCTGGCCTCATCTACTAGGTCCCTTAAGTGACCTTGTCTTACCAGATCTGCTAAATGTGCTTTTAGGGCTCTACAACCCTGTGTTAGGTGTCCATCCTTATTGTGGTAAGCACAGTGCTTTCCCAGGTTTCTCTCCATAAATTCGCCAAGGATCCTCTCCGACGCTTTGTAATACGGTTGGTTCTTAATCCTCTCTAGAACTTTATAAATTGGGATCCGGAACACAATGGTGACTGCCTGCGAAGCCCTTAGTCCTGTTTCTTGTCTATTAAATCCAGTATTACCTTGGCCTTGCTTCGGCGAGCCGTTTCTCTTTTCTTGCTTCAGTGCCTTTGCTTCCGGTGTATCCTTCTCTGCTTTGGCATATTTCTCGATTCTTGCCATAAGGTCCTCCATACTCTTTGGCAAAGTCTTTGCCAATGACTTTCGCAACATGTAGTCATCCTTTAGGCCGTTCTTAAAAGATACGACCGCTAACTCCTAGTTGCATCCTGGCATTCGGTTGAATACCTCATAATACCTCTTAGCATAAGCCCTGAGGCTTTCACCCTCGCCAATTTTCAGAGCCATTAGGAAGTCTACTCTCAACGGCTGCTATTTGTTTGTAACAAACTTGGCCACAAACATCTCGGCCAGGCCTTCCCAACTCTTCACAGTTCCTTTCGGCAACTTATAAAACCAATCTGATGTAATTTCCCCAAAGGATGAGGGGAATACCTTACAAAGCAACGGTTCATTCCTGGTATACAGTGCCATTGAATTCAAACATAAGCTGACATGAAAGTTTAGATCGGACTTACTGTCATATATTTGGAATCTCGGCATGTGGAACCTTTTTGGGACCTCAAATTTATCCAACTCCACTGAGAATGGTGTCAGCTTGACCGAGGATGTGACCTCGGCATCCTGTCGCTTCCTCTGGAGGTAGTCCCTCAAATCCTCCTTAGTCCGACCAGGAGCTCGGTTGTCAATGAATTTCAGCCTTTTTGGTGCGCTACTCTTAACGTAGTTATGAGTCCTCTTGGACTTCTCTTCATTAGTCTTGTCAAAACAAGGTTCCTTCCCCTGAACATGCCGATATTCCCTAACATAGGTTCCTTTTGTATGAGGTGTCTTCTGAGACTCTTCTCCTACTGACTCTCCTCGCCCAACTTCCCTAGAAGGCCGATGTGAATGCTCATTCGTCATGTCATACTGAGGGGCCGCTAGGACTACTCTCTGCCCCCTTTTTTAGGAGTCGTTCTTGGCCGCTGGAATCGGCGTGTCCTTCAATGGAAACGATGGTTGCATGACGTTGTTTTGCATCATGAAGTTGACAACCGATTGTAGGTCTGCTAACTTGTTTTCCATTCCTTTCATCTAGCCGTCCCTCCTCAGACATCTATCTTTCCATACCTGGAAGTCGCTTTCATTATAATACTCATCTCAGCCTGATTTCTTCGGTGGGTCTCCCTCTTGGCCGACATCCTTATTCCCGGGATTCTAATCCTATGGTCCTTCATTAGGGTTCTCCTATTCCATGTTAGAATCGGCATGTTTGCCACTCCCACTAGAGATGTCATCCCCGATCTTTTCTTTATGTCCATCGTTGGCTATCTATTCTCCTTACGTTTCCCACAGACGGCGCCAAATTGTGGGTATTGATTTTTTACCACACAAGACAAGGAAACTCAGCAGGAGAGCACCGACAGAATAGATTAAGCCCAAACAACCTGCTATAGAAAGATAAGAATCTGGCGATAGTTCGTCTACTCGGGGGGCACTCCGACGATCAAGTCAATAATTATCTCTCAAAGATAGTCAATCGTGCTTAACTCACTAGACAAAGTATAAAAAGCATACCTTAGACCGACAATGGTGCCCTGCTTTTATAGCCAGCACTATCCTGATCCCTATAGAAGCCTAGTTTCAATGGACTTTGGCTCAATACTCATCTGGTACTCTCAACTAGATAGAGATAAACTCCCTAAGAAGCTTATCTTTATCCAGACTGAGGTCCTCCCCAATTATAGGACTCCTATCCCTTATCCGTTCATCTCGGATTCCGATATCTCCGTAGATAACCTTGGCCTCGCCGAGATCATCTCGGCGCATAACCAAGCCACGTGATACCTCGGCTGACACGTCAGCGTCACCTTTGCCACATACTGCCATTCACGAAATATGCCCTCACAGTATTGATTTTAGTTATTCCTAACTAAAGTATACTCATTAACTTATTAATTATTTAACTATTTTGGTGTCCTATCAAAAAAAAAACTACTTTCGTGAGTTTTGATTTTCATTATAATCACTTCATAATTAATGCATTGTATTTCTAGTATGATTATTTATAATTTTAATCCTTGTTAAGACTCATTGATTATAATTATTATTAATTATACTTTAACAAGCACGTTAGGTGCACTTGTTAGTATGATTCTTTGTTTATGAGTCTTGTTACGGACAAATCATTTTCTATACCATACTGAAAATAGGAATGGAGGCCACGTATCATCATGGCGTCGGTTCTATGAGTAGAAAGTAAAAATTCAGACAAAAAAAAAATATTTAATATTATTTTTTATTTATTATATTATGTGTCAATACTGCATTAATAATAAATATAAATTGTGAAATTTATTAAAATAATACAACATTAATACATGAAAAAATTAACAAAATACAAAAATAATTTCTTACTTTACTTTAAAAAAAATTAACCAGTACCTGACATTAGCCAATTAGTAAATGCGAGGAATTTTAAAAAACTTGGCAAAATGTTTTGAAGAAAATTTTGGCCCCTTTCACAATCATTGGTAAACTTGGTAATAATTTTTTTCAGAAATCTCTAAAGTTTGGCATCTTCTATTGATTAGGGGTAGTGCTAAAAATACAATTTTTTAAACATTTTTCAGAGAAAATCATGGTAGTTGAATATCGTACTCACAAAAATGAAAAATAAAATAAAATAGAATAGAATTATTAAAGGCTCAAAAACAACAATATGACTGCACCCATCTAATTACAAACATTTAAGTGTTTGCTTTGTGTTTTCAATTTCTTTAAAAAAAGCAATATATTTTCTTATTATTAAAAAACATAATACATAACTTTTCTGTAATTCATGGAATGATCAACAGGTGTATCCAATTACTAATTTTGAGACAATTAAATTGTTAATAAATATAAGCTGGAGTTCAAGTTGTGGACCATAAATAAGTAATTCAAAGGTAGGTTGGGGCTAGTTGCCAGTCAATTTGCTATATTAGTGGCCAAGTTTCAGTTGAGCTTGATCTTCCTTCTGCATGACAATGACAATTTTGTGAATAGAAATAGAAAAATTTATAAATAATTTAAGATGTGTCTGAATTGGGGTCACACACTTTAAAATAAAATACACATCAAAATAATTTTCAATTACAAAAGTGCCATCACGTATCAATATTTATTTATTAATTTTAGATTCTAATTTTCCTAAACTTGTGAATTCATTTGCAAGTCCTCTAACCTAGAAATTAGAAGTGTAAGAAAAATCAATGAAATTGAATATGATGTATTTTGATTTTGACGAATTTTACATTAACAAGGACAAAATATATACATGTTATATTCAAATACTTTTATATCTTGATTTTTTTAGTATTAAAAAATAAGCGATCATTGCTAATAAGAGTTAAGGAGAAAAATATTTATAGAGCAATCCTCACCCTCTCCCGTTTATTTAAATGTAGAATTCTTTTGATTTTGTAAAATTCTTAAAGCTTTCTTGCAATCCCTTATTTACACTTAGCTAAAAAATCGACAAAAGCAAATAATATGTGATCGGTTTCAATTCATCAACTAACAAAATTGTAAAACTCAATTTTGTGCTAAATTTTATCTCGGTGTTAACTAAACCAGTAGGTACAAGTCTACCAAGTTTTCAAATTGCTATGATCTATGAGGTTTACAGGCATTGACTGGAGTCCAAATAATCATGAGAGGACACTTAGATGTTAGTAAAATAAGATTTTTAAGTTTAAGTCAATAAAATAATGTATATTAATCTAACTCTACTAAAACATCTAACCGTGTGGCCAAAAAAAAAAAATCTATGAGATTTGCTACATGGGAAATGCAAGACTCCATGCTTAGGTTTGAGGGCCCAATAAAATCTTGGGCTAATTAGGCCTTTTTCCCATTAAAATAATCATTAATGGGCTCACTGATAGCCCAATATATCGACGGGTGACCGGAGATAGACATGTTATTCTTACCATCACCAACAAGCTACCTCACTGTCACCGTTCCTCTGTAACTCTATCCATCCACCTATCATTCCCTGAATCCCCAAGACAAATGGCGTTCCTCACCGGACGATCGTCCTCTCTGGTCGGCCTCTACCATCACCACCGTCCAATTCTCTCAATCACACGGCAATCAAATCTCAACACGACCACTGCTAATCGGTGGTGGTGGTTCAGCACCACCGGCACCGAGTCGACTCCGAGTGAACTCGCCGGAAAAAACGCATACGATCTCTTAGGGGTTTCCGAAACAAGCTCGTTCGCCGAAATCAAAGCTTCGTTCCGAAGATTGGCCAAAGAAACTCACCCCGACCTCGTTAAATCGCTGGATCATTCCTCTGATTCTCATCGATTCGTTCAAATCCTCGCTGCTTATGAGGTATATTGTCAATTGTATTGTGTTGATCGGTCTTTATTCAATCAACATTTCTAAAAATTAATTTTATATTTAGCTTTGTTTTGATGTTCTGAATTTGTCTTTGTTCTCACAGATATTGTTTACAAGTGCAAATTATGGTGTGAGAGAATTAAATTCAAGTTGCAATAAAGTTAGACTTGAAATGAGAATGAATTCAGTTTGTATTTTTCTACACAATGAATCTGATTCTGAAAAATGTGGAGAGAACTAGAGCTTAGTGATTATGTTCAGCTGAGAGTTTAATGAGAACAAAAAACATGGTGGCACATTCACTACAAATAACTAGACTGAACACAGGTAGCAACTCCAGCTTGTGAAGTTCCAACTTCATTTATGAAATTGTGGCTAATTTGGAAATTTCTTATGAATGAGTTGTAATTTTGAAATTTCTTATGAATTATTGGTAATTTGTGAAAGTGTACATTTTTAATAAATCATAACAAAGCTGAAGTTCGTTAAAATTTACTATAGGCACTCTTGTGGTGTCAGGATTGTTGCTTTTTTGTATGTGTATCAATTAGTTAGGGATCTTCAATTATCTAGTTAGCAATGCCATGAAACTGTAAGAAAAATGACTTCTTGGTGGAATGTTTTGAATCCATTGGGAAGTAAACATTTTGAATTTTGATTTATTTAATACGATTAGATTCACATGTTTTGTAGGAAAGGTAACATGCAATTGTCTATACAATGTTTTAATATGTGCCCGCAATCCTTGCTTTATTTTAAACACCTTACGGTCGAGGATTATATCTCAAATGTTTTTTTATTTAGTTCTGATTTTGGCATATGTTTCAAGTTGAAAGTGCCTGTTATTTTTGTTTTTCCTCCATCTTGGGCTGTTCATTTGTCATGGAGACTTCCTTGATATTTGTGCTTTGACATCAGTGTCACAGTAGTTTAGGTGATTGAATGAACTTATTTATGGGTTCTAAAACATGCTGGAAATATTGTGTGCATCGCATTGTGCATGGCGGCAATGTCTAGTGCCACAGTATGCTGAAAATATTTATATAAAATGCAATGTTGCCGTTCTACATAAACATAACGCAATGGTGTACATACAATATTCCAGCATATTCTGGAAACCAGAAATAACTGTTGCTCTCAATGTAAAGGGAGTTCTGACTTAGTAGTGAACAATGAAATGCAGATACTATCAAATTCTGAGAAGAGGACTCATTATGACAGGTACCTGTTATCTCAGAGAATGCGTGTTCAGAGATGTTCTGAGCAAGTTTCAGTAATGTACACATATGAATCACACAGAACAACAATGAAAGAAATGGAAGTTGTTGAATGGTTAAAATGGTATAGGTTTGCTTTAAATGATATTTTGTCAGAGAGAAGAATTGTAGTTGGGTCAGGCTACTTTGATGTACTGGAAAGGGATTTTTATTCAGCCATGCATGCAGCATACTATGGCCCAGTGATTGAGTCTATGGATCTCCTCCCTGACTGTTTTGAAGCCGAGGAGAGGTCTGCCTGTGAAACTCCTGAAGTGCTGCACTTGGTTTCAGGGCGTGACCTTTTTGGAATGATATGCCTAGCTGATAAGGTTCCTGAATTATCTCAGTCCTACAATGAAAAACTGTCATCTTTTGCCTCTAGAGGGTTGGGGTTGTGCCAAGCCATAGAGAATCCGAGCAGGCAAACCAATTCTGGAACAGATGATATTGGAATTCATTGGATGCCAGCAACAGAGATTGATTACCATGCATCTGACGCATATAAAGATCTAGAATTGCATGTGTTGGGAAAGGTGGTTGCTTTGGCAACCAGAGTCCCACCTAAAAGCTATTGCAATGGGATAAGAAATGAAGATTCTCAGGATCACATACATGTATATCTTAGTTCACATGAAGATTTGTACATGAGCAAAGGATTTTCTAGAGACTCCTTCAAGGGTGTTGCAGTTGGATCTAGGATTCCACTGGGAACAATAACTGGAATAGGGACCAACTCCGAAGAAGGGTCGTGCTTTGTCTATGATAGCAATGGTATAAAAACCCACATGATTATGAAGCATAGGACACTGATGGTGTGTGTAACAGCTCTCTTTCAGTTTCTATTCGTTTTGGTTTTCACCCTCAGTTATTAAATTCATGTTTAGATCAATATTTATGTCTCTTTGACTTCTTGTTGTGGAATGACATTCTTGTCTTCGTTCCCTGCATTATTGTGGTGGCTCTTGTAAATTTTGCAGTGTGTTCACCTTAATGACAAGAACTTCTAGTTTTTTTGTAGCCTGTAATGGAAACAAATGCTGGGGTTTTCTTGTTTATATCAATGCATATCTTTGTGTAGCACGATGTCAAGAACCATGTACATGTAGTGGAACAAATTCTTTGTAAATAAGTGACATATGCTTTATATTGTTAAAGTTCCTTGTAGTTTCTACTGGAGAAAATGGCTTGGGAGTTTTGATGACCGTACACATGATCAATTGTCTTTATTTATTATTATTTTTTTAAATAAAACTTCTCCATGCATTAGTGTTGACTTTAGTTGCTTTTGTTGTCTTAGTTGTGAACTTCCATTGTACCAGGAATTTTGTTGGCCTACTGCTTACAACTTGACTTGCTGCTCAACTAGTGATCCCATGCTACACCCCAGTTTCTTGCCTTTTCTTATCATATTTTCCTGCGATGATAAATTACTTATGAACTTTGCACTAATATGCTAGGTTAGTTGTGGCTTACCTCTACCAATTTTCGTGATTGTTAATTCAATTTTTCAAGACCTGCTTTATGAATGAGTGGATTGATGTATTCAAATACATATCTGTGTAATTAGTCTTTTGAATTTTCTTTTCTTTTGTTACTGAATTTGTCTTAGGTAAAACACATGCACTGGTATCAAGTGGATGATAAAGTTTCTGTGGCAGAGTGCAGATGCAGCAGAGCTCAGTTACCACCAAGCACGTAAGATGTATTATTTTCTCAAATTCATGTTGATAGATAAGTGTAGAACTAATCTTACAAAACCCAAATAAACTGTAAGTGCAACCTAAGCTTTTTGCATCTGAAAAAGAGATTTCTTTCGCCTTTTGCTGGTTCTTCTTTGATGGATTTGTTCAGAGGTTTTCTACCAGCCCAACTTCTAATAAAATGATCTTCCTTCGACTGATCAGGAGAATTATTGTTTATTGACAACTGATTATTTGCAAGTGAAATTCCCTCTAAATCATTGTGTGGTTCTCTTCCCCTTCTGCAAGAATGTTATTACTCGTCATTTGTACTCTTCATTTTGTGCCACATTATTTATTATTTATTTTTTTGCATATTTCTGGTGAATGGCCAAGTACTTTCCATTGAATACCTGCTTCTATGCCTTGTTCGAAGTTGAAAAACTTATACTGTCTTTCAATATCACTTGCTGGGTTCCAATTTAATTAGCTGAGTAATATCTGAAATGGGTTCGGAACTTCATTGTTGTTTTCATAACTGAACATTAAATATTGAGGTCAACCCAGAGGAAGTACAAAAACAACAAGATTCTCAAGATGAGGTTCATGTTGGTTTGAAATCACTAGATGTTTTTATATATTTTTTCTAATCACAGCTTCCTTGTAAGAATATTTTGTAAAAATAAATGAGCTTCCTGATCAGTGAACCCTATAATAATTGATGTTTTGAACTTTTTATGATTTCTTTCAACAGATTTTGGCTGTTTGAGCCTCGATGTGGCATGCATGACATTGGAGGTTGGTATGTGGAGACATTTGGCAGAGATAGGAAAGGCCGGACTGTCCCATCCAGAAGGTATTGGGATGGCTTCAATGCAGATGAACAGTTTGAAAAGTAAGTCAAATGTCACATAAGCCTCAGAGGCCTTTTCAGAGTTTCTCTTTGGGTTTGCATGTTTAAGCATTACTAATGTTGTGTTTGGTTGGAGGATTTGGGAAGAGATTTGGAAAAGGAAATGGAAAAGGTAGGTGAAATGTAAATAAAATTTACCTATATTTCACATAGTTTCAAACACCTTTTCTATTTCTCTTTCTAAATCCCTTCCCAAATCTTCCAACCAAACACAATGTAAGCTAGCAAAAAGTTTCTACTAATTCACATGCTGGTTTTTTAAGGACTACATTAGCATCATATTTTTTTACCCACTCAGCCCTTTGTTAAGAAATTATCCAAAAAAAAACTAATAGGTCCAGAAACCTCATTGCTATGTATTGGAAGTTTACAATATGGATTTGAACTCTGGCACTTTCCAGAATAGCTTGACATGGAATTCCAAACTTATTTGGAAATCTCTTTTTAGTTGCATAACTGTTGTTGGTTTCCAGCCCTAACTAAAAATATCGAAACTTGGGCCCACACCTCATCTTTTTGTGAGATGTCTTGTATACTATACACTCAAGACTACTTTAAGAGGCTTTTTATGGTGGCCTGAGCCCGGAGACTAGTTGGTATATATTGTAATTTTCAGTTAGGGTTTCATGGAATGTTACTTATCCAAAAAAAAACTAATAGGTCCAGAAACCTCATTGCTATGTATTGGAAGTTTACAATATGGATTTGAACTCTGGCACTTTCCAGAATAGCTTGACATGGAATTCCAAACTTATTTGGAAATCTCTTTTTAGTTGCATAACTGTTGTTGGTTTCCAGCCCTAACTAAAAATATCGAAACTTGGGCCCACACCTCATCTCTTTGTGAGACGTCTTGTATGCTATACACTCAAGACTACTTTAAGAGGCTTTTTATGGTGGCCTGAGCCCGGACACTAGTTGGTATATATTGTAATTTTCAGTTAGGGTTTCATGGAATGTTACAGAAAAAGAGAGTAACGTTGAGAAGTTCAGAGTGTTTTGTAATCCTTATTGAATATAGTGAATTTGTTCTCTCTCTCTCTCTCTCTCTCTCTCTCCATCGTGGACATAGGCACACCCTGCCAGTGTTCTTGTTTCTGTCTGTGTTTGTTCTATCATTTATTGTCTGCACAACAAAAAGCTTCTACTTGTCCTAGTGAACATTCCCTCGCCTCATGCTTCAAATTTGAGTGCAATTTAAAATTGTGGTATATGTATATAACATATTCTTTGGATGTGGCATTATACGGTACTCAATATTATATATTATCTGCAGGAGACTTCATCCAGCAATGTATTTGCTTGCTCTTGCATATAGAACTCTAGATCTTGAAGATGCAAAAAGAAGGAAACAAACAGTGAGAGATAACGTTGAACGAAAACTGTCTGGAATAATCAGTTGGTGCAGGAAACTTGTATGAGTCAGATTAAATATGGAGCTTCTGGCATGAAAAGCATTTCAACTCTCATATATAGTACATTCTTCGCTTCTGCTGCCTACATATTTACCAGTGATTTTCTTCAGAACAGATCCAAATGGCATTGGCTGTGGCATCTACCAACTCCGTAGTTCTACATCGAATTCATAGAACATTAAGGTAACAATTGCCTTATATGCAGATTCTAGGATGCACGAAGATTATTTCTGGGATATATTGAGCATTTTAGTAGAGCTTTGTGTGGTGTTTTGTGTTGTGGTGCACTGATGGTGTGAAGCCTTGAGTTAGGGGTGAAACTGGGAGTTCACAGACAGAGACACAGAGAGAGAGAGAGAGAGAGAGAGAGAGAGAGTTGTATATATTTCTTGGTAGAGAGGCCTAAGCATATCGGTGGTTATGGAATCCGGAGAGAGTCATTAAGTTGTATATATCTGACCGAGTCAAGTGGAACGAATAGACTCTTTTTTGGTAGAGGGGCCTAAGCATATCGGTGAGAGAGAGACAGAGAGAGAGAGAATCATTAAGTTGTATATATTTCTTGGTAGAGGGGCCTAAGCATATCGGTGGTTATGGAATCTGGGAGAGAGTCATTAAGTTGTATATATCGGACCGAGTCAAGTGGAACGAATAGACTCTTTTTTGGTAGAGGGGCCTAAGCATATCGGTGGTAATCATTGAGTTGTATATATTTCTTGGTAGAGGGCCCTAAGCATATCGGTGGTTATGGAATCCGGGAGAGAGTCATAAAGTTGTATATATCTGACTGAGTCAAGTGGAACGAATAGACTCTTTTTTGGTAGAGGGCCCTAAGCATATCGGTGGTTATGGAATCCGGGAGACTCGGGACATGTTAAGGACCACATTATTCAGCTTTTTGCTTCTGCACCAAGGGATGTAAAAGAGTCATTAAGTTGTATATATCTGGCCGAGTCAAGTGGAACGAAGAGACTCTTTCTTGGTAGAGGGGCCAAAGCATATTGGTGGTTAAGGACAACATTATTCAGCTTTTTGCTTCTGCATCAACTGTCATAGCGGGTATTAATTTTTCGCTTGGGTATCTTGACTCTACCAAGAGATGTAAAAGAGAAGAGGGAACATTCTCTAGTAGTCCATTCAGCTGCTATTGTTGTCAGATGGTTGCTTGTGTTGAAAAATCAGCAAATGTTATTCAAGAAATAATACTACTGAAATATTTAGGTTTATATTTGGTTTTTGACATCTTCCCTTAATGTATTATCTTTTCATATCAGCTTCAATTTCTATCTGATAGTTTGCCATTTTTCTTTTTCCATTTTACTTTTATTGTACAGATGTTCAGTCACGTCATAGCATGAATTGTTCCAGTATATCAAGCAATTATCAGTTAATGAATACCTTCCCACAATCCTCTTGAGTTGATCCCTTTAGCCTTATGATTTCACTTTAATTATACAAATCATCTTGATTGTTCCCTTATACAATAAAATCAAATTTTGAACTTGTCTTCAACAGTATTGAATGACAAGGCTTATCTCTATGAAGTTTCTAAAAAGTAATGCGTTGAGCAAAAATTAATTATAAAGTATGTGACAAATCATATTACATTTTTGTATGTACTATGTAATATCAAGTACAAACCAATCAAATACAAAGTTTGTACATTTTATAAAAATGTTAAAACATTATTTGTTGGAAAAAATGATTTTTGGTGATTTTAATTTAATATTAAAGTGTGGTGACTTTAATTAAATATTAAAGTGGGTTCTAATCATTTATTGTGTTGCGTCCAAATGGGCCAAAAAATCATTGGGTTTTGAATAAGAAATTGTCTCATGATATTATATTCATGAATAGGATTTTAAAGGGTATTTAAATCATTTTTTTTTTGCTAAAGGGTGTGAATCTTTTGGGTATCCAAACTTTTTAATTTTTTGAAAAAGGGCTATGGATGCTTGTTAATGGTGTTTTAATGACCAGCCTTAAAGGCTGGAGGCTCTTCTTCTCTCCCCTATACATATATAAATTGAGACCCTCCTGTCAAGTCTTAATACAGAAATTTTTTTTGCTTCCATTTTACAAGTCAGTTTGACAGAAAGTTCCTACTGTGAGAGAGTGCTACCACTGTTTTTGTTCGCTAAGCTAGACAAAAAGTACTTCTGCCGTTGCTGGTTTTTGACCGTCGTATCCTGGGAGACAGACGCCGGGATTCCTCAAGCACTCGACCCGTGAGGCAGCGAAATCTGTTTTAAGGAAACTGCTACCGTGCAGGTTTCGGTTTGATTTCTTTACCATTTTATTTTTTTTGTATATTTCTATTGAAATTTAGTTGTAATTATCAGCATATGTTCTTAGTTTATAATTTTGACTTCTTCATAAATCTATTTATTTAATTTCACAATTTGAACAAAAAGCTTAAAACAGATTTTTATATATTTTCTATGAAATTGATCGAATAGATTTATATAGACAATTAGGTTAGCTTTGTATAATGTTACTAGGAACTGTTGCGGAATTGCTCACTGTTTCAATGATACAAAATATAAATTTGCATGTTTAGAGATTCAAGTAATTTATATGAATAGGCCATTATTTCATTTTCTGTCGGTTAATTGTCGGTTCATGATTTTACTTCTTTGCATGCACATAAAACTATTTTCATGCCTTCTTGCACTGATTCATCCTTCTGAGTAAATCAATATATTTGTGTTTGCTAGTGAATAGTTCCATATGTGTTTTAGACATATTACCTGCTATTGCTTCTGTTATTTAAGTAGACGGCCTGTACTAAAGAGAAAGTCCACTATTTGTTTTTCCTTTGAAAATTCAATGATTGTAAATTATGCAATGTTATTCTCTAAGTGCTTAGTTTAATTAGAATGCTCTATCATAATTTGCATACTTAATTGTATTAGTATGATCTTATTTTATGCATATGGTTCATCATTACCCTACTATGATTTGCATGAATTTTAAAGTTATAAAATATAATTTATGGATGTTGCAATTTTTACATGCTAATTCTATTCTAGTTTTTAATTTGTTACATGTTTATTATTTTCTAGACTAGATTACATAATTTAATGTTTTTAGAATTATTTGCATATGTTAATTGCTAAATGTTTATTAGTTTGTAACTCTTGCCTATTAATTTTAGTTTAATGTATTTCGAGTTATAGAGTTTTTATGAATTGTGTACATGATTAATTTGAATTAATTGGGTGCATTAATCTACATTATCTAATTGGGTGCATTAATCTGAATTATTTAATTGGGTGCATTAACTTTGAATTTAACTTATTTATTTGGAGTTGTTAGTTTAAATGTTTATTATGAATTAATTTCATTCATAACTCATGAGTATTGAACTTTATTTTAAAATTTTAATTAAATTGGCATTTTAATTCATTAGTTAATTTTATAAATAGTTGGCTAGATGGTTTCAATTATTTATTATATTTATTTTTTTGCTTAGATTATTTGTTTGTATTTTGTTGTGGTTTTTTCTGCTAACTTTCTTTACAGGAATACTTATGCAAAAGGGAATGAAAAAACGAATATAAAACCAAATGAATAATATTTGGGAGGTAAAAAAAAACAAAAATGCTTGGACTACTAACTTTTGTGTTGAATAGGAATACCTAAGCATGGAAAGGCTTTTAGACTAAATAGAATCCTTATGGATTGGCTATTTTATTTAAATATTTGAAGCATGTTTTGCTTGAGATTTAGTTGGTTTGTTTATCAATTTGTGGTAGCAAGTTTTATTTGCTTGTTTTGTTAGAAGCATTTTATATGCGTATAATTGTTATAGCAATTTTTAAATTGCTTGTAAGTTTGGAACTTGGTTTGATTTTCTGTGATAGAAACCAAAGTTTTAGCTTTGGCTAAAGAATAGTTCTTATTTGTTCAGAAATATATGACAACTAAGACGGATTTGGTTTCAAACCTTTGGAGTTTGAGAAAGTCTTTGGGTTTAATCATTTTATTCCCAAAGTGTTGGAAAACCATGTTTGGAGAAAGTCTTTGGTTATAATCTGATTATGTCCAAAGTGTTATGGTTTTGAGAAAGGAAACCAAATTTTAGCATTAGCTAAAATATTTTTGATTTTATTCAGAAATAATGGGCTTAGTTCCGGGAGTATCGGTTAACTTTTATGAATGGTGTAATTCTGGTAGCAAATTTTATTTGCTTGGGAATCGGTTTGTTATAACCTGGTTTATTCCTTGAAAATCTTAATTTTTAAATTGTTTCCTATGAATTAGGAGTCAACATGCTCTTGAATGTTTTGTCAAAAGGTTAACTGGGTTTTAAGTGGGACCGATGTGACCCCTCCAGTCTTCTTGGGAACATTCCTGACCATGTTCGATTCTAGGTTAAATGGTGAAACTAGTTTTGAATTAAATTTTCATCTGAGGGATTTTCTAAGGGTTAAGTTTAATTTCTGCAATCACAGAAGTGAAATTCTGTTGTGATATTTCAGAAATAGCTTCAAAAGGTGACAAACAGAAATGTTGTTCCACCTGACAACCTTAGTCTCGCGAGATTCTTAAAGGAAGATCTTGAGAGATCAAGTATGATTAAGGAAATCATAAGATTGCATTAAAATATCTCTGAATTGATCAGAGGCAATTAGTATGGTATCCTTGTGTTATTTATAGCATTTATGATTGCTATGTGACTTTGCTTGAAAGTAAAGTTGAGACAACCTGTTATAGTAGGTGAATAGTTTTTGGATTTTTAAATTTCAAATATATTCTTAAATTAGTGGCTCTTAGTGAGTACAAGATCACTGATCACAGAGATAGAAAACTGGTGGTTCCTAAGAGGTGTTAGACCACTGGCTACATAGTTATGAGATTGTTGTTCCTAGTAGTGAACAGATTACTGATTACATGTCAAGACATCATGGTTCCTAGTAGTGGAGAGGCTACTGGTCATATATCAAGACATTATGATTCCTAGTAATGAAAGAGTCTATTGATCTTATGTCAGGACGTTGTGATTCCTAGTAATAAAGTAACTACTGATCACAAGTTAAGACATTGTGATTCCTAGTAGTAGAAAGTCTACTGACCACATGCTGAGAAATTAGTGATTCTTAGTGATAAGACTACTGGCCATGTGATTCTTAGTGATAAGACTACTGGCCATGTTATGAAGTTCCGAATAGTAGACTATTGAACACTGGATTTGTGTTTCCTAATAGTAAGACCATTGGCTTCAGAGTGATAGGTCGGACCTAATATATTTGGGTGCCTAATTCGGTTGATGACATTCTGGGAATGTATTTACTGTGATATGATTTTTAGAGTTTCATAATCATTGTGACTTAAGGATTTGTTTAAAACTATGTATAAATTCTACAAAGAAGACCTGATTATCCGACTCCGTAATGAGGTGGATAATAGAAAGAAATGAGGAAGTACCTCCTCAGTGAAGGCCAATGTCATTGAGCATGGCAAATTTTCTGGGATGAGGAAAAAGCCTCCCACTTGAACAAGGGCTCTAAGTTGGGGCCAAGGGGTGGTGAAGAAGCTGGCATAAAAGCTGTGGGAACCTGGTTGTCAGTTCTTTGGGAAGTGCTACAACTGTGGTAGCGAGGCTTTTAGTTTTATTAGGGCTACACGTCACATCTGCTCCGAGAAGGAACTGTTTACAACTTTTGAACCGGTTACAAATGGTAAGAAGTTGTTTATAGGAAACTCTACTACCTCATTTGTTGAGGGAAAAGTGGTCCTGAAGTTAACCTCAGGAAAAGAGCTAACCTTGAACGACGTCCTGTATGTTCCAGACATTCGTAAGAATCTTGTCTCTAGGTCTCTTCTCAGTAAACATGTTTTCGCGTGGTTTTTGAGTCCGACAAGGTCGTTCTGACGAAACACAAGTGTGAAACTTGTGTTGAAGCGAAGTAGACAAAATCCCGTATGAGTTATGGAAGGCGTTAAGTCTTCTTATAAATTCTTACGAATGTGGGGGTGTCTTGTAATAGTGGTGATTCCTACACCCTAACGGGTTAGGATAGGCCCGAAATCCGTGGATTGTATATTCATTGGTTATGCACATAATAGTAGTGCATATCGGTTTCTTGCACATAAGTTTGAAACTTCAGACATTCACAGGAATACCATAATGGAGTTAAGGAATGCATGTTTCTTTGAAGACATTTTTCCTTACCAAACCTAAGAAGGGGTTTTGAGGTTTTGGAGCAATTTGGTGAGCTTACTAGTGATAATGATCATTTTGATGATCAAGTTGAGAATCAAGGTGATAATCAACCTAGAAGGAGTAAAAAGGCAAGGATGTCCAAGTTTTTTGATCCAGACTTCTTGACTTTTATGGTTGAGAACGAATCTCAAACTTTTCACAAAACTGTGACTTCTCCTGAGAGTCCTTATGGAAAGAAGCGATCAAAAGTGAGATTGACTTCATCTTACAGAACCACACCTGGGAGTTGGTAGATTTACCTCTAGGTTGTAAGCCTTTAGGCTGCAAATGGATTTTTAAAAAGAAAGATGAAGGCCGATGGATCTATTGACAAGTATAAGGCGAGGCTCGTTATCATAGGGTACAGGCAACGAGAAGGCCTAGATTACTTTGATACGTACTCACCTGTAACTAGGATAACATCCATTCGCATGGTGATTGCGATAGCAGCTTTGCGCAATCTGGAGATACACCAGATGGATGTAAAGACAGCCTTCTTAAATAGGGATTTGAATGAAGAAATCTACATGGAGCAACCTGAAAGGTTTTCAGCTCCAGGGCAAAACAAGAAAGTTTGTAAACTTGTCAAATCATTGTATCGTTTGAAGCAAGCGCCTAAACAATGGCATGAGAAGTTTGACAACGTAATGTTGTCATGTGGGTTTTCAACGAATGTGACATGTGTGTTTATGTCAAAGACACTGACAGAGGTTATGTCATTTTGTGTCTATATGTTGATGATATGCTCATTATAGGTAGTTATGATGAAATTATTAAAACTACCAAGAAGTTGTTAAATTCTAAGTTTGACATAAAGGATATGGGCATCGCAGATGTTATTCTGGGAATTGAGGTTACCAGAACATCTGGTAGAATTGTACTTTCTCAGTCTCATTATGTTGATAAGATACTTGAGAAGTTTAGTGGATCAGATACGAGTGTGTCATCGACACCTGTAGACTTAAGTCTACATTTTACCAAGAATAATAAAGAATGTGTCTCTCAGTTAAAATATTCTCGGGTAATTGGATGTTTAATGTATCTAATGAGTTGTACTAGGCCGGATATAGGTTACTCGGTTAGCAGGCTTAGTAGATACACTAATAATCCCGATGCTTCTCATTGGAAGGGCATTGTGCGGGTGTTAAGGTATATATGCTACACTCGGGATTATGGGCTGCATTATACTCGATATCCAGCGGTGCTTGAAGGCTATAGTGACGCAAATTGGATATCAGATATAAAGGACTCAAAGTCCACTAGTGGATATGTGTTCACTCTTGGTGGGCCAGTCGTGTCTTGGAAATCTTCTAAGCAAACGTGTATATCTAGATCAACGATGGAATCAGAGTTTATTGCTTTTGATAAAGTAGCGGGAAAAGCTGAATGGCTTCGCCATTTTCATTGAAGATTTGCCACGTTGGTCTAAACCTGTGCCAGCTATTTGTATTCATTGTGATAGTCAATCTGCAATTGGTAGGGCACAGAGCAATATGTATAATGAAAAGTCTAGACATATCCGTCGTAGACATAATTCCATACGACAACTACTCTCGAATGGAGTTGTCTCTATAGACTTTGTAAAGTCTAAGGACAACATTGCAGATCCGCTAACCAAATGGTTAAATCGAGTGTTAGTCGAAACATCGTCAAAAGGAATGGGGTTGAGACCTTTGGAAGTTACCGGAATGGAAACCCAACCTAGTTGACTGGAGATCCCAAGATCTAGGTTCAATGGGACAACCTAATTGCGTGTAACGGTGGTATGTCACTAAGGAGGTTAAACCTCCAGTCATTCCTTCTATCAGTGATACCTGGAATTGTAGAGGTTAAGCTGAGCTTTTAATGACTTTAGTGTGTTAAGCTGTTGAGCTAAGTATAGCAGGATACTAAAATAGAGTCACCTATGTGAGTTTGAAGTGGGGCCGCTTCTAGAAGAATTGAACAAGCCAAGATTCTTTGAAACCACTCGCTGAACCAGGCTAGTGCCCTAGGCCATACAGGGCACACCAGTGAGAACAAAATGATGGTAGGAGTAATTCCCGTATGAGATCTATTGTCTCAGTTTACATAAACAGCAGAGCAGTTCAAGATGTCATATTCACTGATCAGCCAGTAAACTCAATAGGTTTTCACTGGGAGAGGTTCAAAGCCAAAAGCTACATTCTTTGATGTCGGGGTTAGTCCGTTGTACTCTTTCTCCGAGTCTTTATTGTTGAACGGTGTCCGTTTGTTGAGTCATTCGGTCAATTTTTATTCATGTGGGGGATTGTTGGAAAAAATAATTTTTGGTTACTTTAATTTAATATTAAAGTGTGATGACTTTAATTAAATATTAAAGTGGGTCACAACCATTTATTGTGTTGGGTCCAAATGGGCCAAAAAATTATTGGGTTTTGAATAAGAAATTGCCAAGAAATTGTCTCGTGATGTTAGATTCACAAATAGGATTTTAAAGGGTATTTAAATCCTTTTTCTTGGCTAAAGGGTGTGAATCTTTTGGGTATCTAAACTTTTCAATTTTTTGGAAAGAGGCTATGGATGCTTGTTAATGGTGTTTTAATGACCAGCCTGAAAGGCTGAAGGCTTTTCTTCTCTCCCCTATACATGTATAAATTGAGACCCTCCTGTCAAGTCTCAATACATAAATTTTTTTACTTCCATTTTACAAGTCAGTTTGACAGAAAGTTCCTGCTATGAGAAAGTGCTGCCACTGTTTTTGTTCGCTAAGCTAGACAAAAAGTGTTTTTGCCGTAACTGGCTTTTGACCGTCGTATCCTGGGAGACAGACGCTGTGATTCCTCAAGCACTCGACCCGTGAGGCGGCCAAATCTGTTTTAAGGAAACTGTTACCGTACAGACTTCGGTTTGATTTCTTTATCATTTTATTACTTTTGTATATTTCTGTTAAAATTTAATTGTAATTATCAACATATATTCTTGGTATATAATTTTAATTTCTTCATAAATCTATTTATTTAATTTCACAATTTGAACAACATTATTAACATTAAGTGATTATTTGACAGTTTTGCGAATGAATGAATGAACAAACCAACTAAAATCTCTCTTCATCCACAAGGCCACATCCTAGATTTCCTTGTAGCATTATTACAAGTTCAAGCAAAGAAACATGTATCATAAAATTTTCAATGTCCACAAAAAATTAAAAATAAATAAAAATAAAAATACACCTTGGTTAGTATATCTCAATTGGTGGATCTCATGCAACGTCTTCTCAGCTGAGACATTTATAGACTTGAACAGCAATACGTGTTCATCCACAAAATTAAAAGCTCGATAATCACACCATGTAAACCTTTTATCCTTGTTAGTTTAAGCTTCAGTTAATCGTGTGGTGCAGCAAGGAAACAAATGTGAGCCCCGCAGAAACAGAATCAGCAGTTGAGATCAGTGTCATGTATTTATCCACTCTTCAACTTTCGACTTGAGAATTCTGTAGAATCCAGTGGAGATATACAATATCAACTCTGTTCTCATTGTTTTTTCTTCAATTAATCGGCAGATCTCTTGGATGGCTTTGCAAGGGTTGGAATTTCTTCATTTCTGACCTTTTCTTCAATCTCTTCTCTTACCAATTTGGTAAAACCTAGATCCGCCTGCACTGGCCATTGATCTTGGAAACAAGGATATGGAATCACAATTTGTGGCAGTTTTGGTGGCATTGCTTCCCCCAGCGCTTCAAAAGATACATGCAACCTGCCGCGGAGAATAGGCCAAGAGCAGCAAATGCCATGATTGTTGAATTCTCAATGTTTTGGTAGTAGCCTCTCTATAACAAGGTAGCAACTAATCTCAATATTTGATGGTAAGCCAGGAAGAAAAATGAAAATTATCACAAGAATCAGAGAAAATATTTTTGATGCTTCATAATCTGAAAATAACAAAATGTGATGTGTTTAAAAAGTTGAATCCTAAGAAATGTAGATAAGACAATTATGCAAAATATATCAAATAGCGGAAAAATTCACAAAATCTTAAGGTTGTGATGCTTTCAACCAAAGGATCATTATATGTAACTAGGGCCTGCTTAGTATTCTTTAGGGTGATAGGGTTTAATAATTGAATATGACATGGGATTGGAATTGGGATTGAGATTGCTTTCCAATTTCTAAGCTTAATTTCAATTTAAGTTTGTCAGATATTCCAGATAATGCCCATTTAAAAACTTTTGGGTGCTGGAGAGAGCCTACAGCAGAGGGCTGGAGTTTGAAAGTATAGAGATAACTGTTGGTCCTTTAGGTACATCATCCAGGTCAAAATCCAACAAAATCACAGGCTGATTGTGATGAAAATTGGAAATTCTGCCGCCAGAGAAACAGAGAAAAGTAAAAAACAACATTGCTCTTGTACATACATGAAATTTTGAGGAGGTACAGGCATATAGCTTTTTATACATCCTATGTGCAGGGTTTATGCCTATTTGGCACCTACGAGTATGATTATGACTTAAAAATTAAAACTCTGGAAGTTTTTCCTACTATGGACAGAGGTACATACTTGCAATAGGAAAAACAGAATTGCTGCATTTGCAGGGGAATGAGAAAGGCTTATCATCCCTCCACGCAAATTGTTTGGTATATACCTGTATATGGAACAAGCAAGCAGGAAAAGTTCCTCTCATATATAGACAAGTTACTGAATGAAATAAACTCCCACCATACAAAAGCCAAAATCAGTAAGAAATCACAAACAAAGGAGCATTAGTATAATTTACATGGTCCTCAATCTGGCAAGTGAAGGTAAAATCAGGCCAACACAAGCATGAAATAAGCAGAATAGTGCCACAAGAACTCCAATTTCCTGCACATATAAGTACAAGCTATAAAAATTCAAGAACAAGCTTCAGAATCCAAAAAATGGAATGGGAAAAAATTAGTTCTCTAAACGATCAATGAGTAAAGCATCCCCACCTGATAATCATAAGCCACTATGGACAAAACAAAACCCATTACAATGAACCCGTACACCAGGCAATCCTCAGGTTGAATAGATAACATTCCACTGAAAAACCATGGAAATGCTGTGCTTCCTAGCATCCTAGCACCCAGCAAACAAGGATATATCAACCCTAGATGCACTTCTTGCCCATCAGCCTAAAATCACAAGAACATCAATTGAATAAATTGGCAATTTCCATCAAATTTGGCTACATGGTGCTATTAAAAAATAGGTCTCTCAATTTGCACCAACTGTTAATAAGCAGTTAATGCAGGCCAAAAAGAGCACAAGAAAAAGTAAATATGAAGAGATGGCAAAAAAATACGAAAGTAGTTGATTTCAAGTTGGGACCTGTTTGGGACCTTGCGTTGTCAATAAGAGTCTGGTTATGCATAGTTTTTGCTTTAGTATGCTACAGAGAGTTTTAATTATGTCTGGTTAAGTTTTTAAGAATTAGAGTTATTTTGGTAATTGGAAGAATTTATAGACATGGGCTATAAAGGCCGCTTAGGGTTGTCATATTAAGTTTGTAATTAAGGATTTACTTATAGGTCTTATTTGATTTTAGATAGACTTTAGATGTCAAAAGTCCAAATTTCCAAATAGGAAGTCAAAATTATATTAGTACAAAAAAATCTCTAAAATGTGTAAAATGTAATGACTTAATTCAATAGAGATTAGTTTTAGGCCGTATTTGGTTCATGGATTTGGATAGGGATTTTGAAATGGAAAGGGAAGGGGAAAAACTAGGTAAAATGTGAATAAAATATAGCTACTTTTCACACACTTTTTTTCTTTCTCTTTTCAAATCCCTATCCAAATTCATGAACCAAACACAACATCAAAGAATTTTTCAAAGCTTTGAAGCTTCTTTCACATTCAACAGTTTCTAGATGGCAAGGAAACAAAAATGATCCATCAGAAACCAAACTGAAATCAAATTTAATTCCACTCAGATTGAGGTCAAGGGTGTACCACTATAGTGGGAGCCCACAGAATCCAGAAGACAGCAATGGAGAACTGAACACAAGCTTGTGCCCAAGCCAAAAGCCATACCCGTTTATCTAACCAAAGAAAGAAACCATTGATTGGGTACATAGTTTCTCAACCAATAACAGGAAATTTATAATCTGTAATTTTTTTTTTTCTCAACCAAAAGAAGATTAAAACATTAAGAAGAAAACTCAAAGAGTTAGAACAAGCTAAAACTTATAGCTTAAACACCCACTTCTCAATCCCAAAACAAAGGGAGAGGAAGACAGTTGTTGTAGCATTCTTAAAATTGCATAAACGATGGTCCAAAAGCTACAGAATACAAGCTAAAACAACCATTTAAAAGATTCTAGGGTTATCCTAATAAAAATAAGATCTCAGCCCTTTATATAAGATTAATCTAATGTTATTATTTTGTCCAACCAAATAAAAGAGAATTAAGGCCAAGTTTGGCAAGTTGAAAAAAAGTCAAAAAGTCAAAAAAGATACTCAAAAAGTTAAAAAATTATCACTATTCACCAAAAGTCAAAAATTACGGCTGCACAACTCCCAATCCTAATTTTCCCCTACAGACTAATTTATACAATTTTTTAATACACATTTTTCTATAAAAAGTCAAAAAGTTAACCCAAACAACCATATTTTTTTCCTCAACTTTTTAGTCCAAAAAGTCAAAAAGTATACTTATTTACGACATCCCAAACAACCCCTAAATGACTAATATGCCCCTAAAAGTAACTGGCTTAAAAATCACATGACCTTTTTAAATTAATGTATAATGACCAAAATACCCCTCAAGAACTTAAATGACTAATTGCCAAATCTGCAAATACTAAGATTGCAAATAAAAAAAAAACACAAAATGGCCTCATGAGCTGATTGTAGGTGGATCCCAATGGAGTTTCTACTCATATAGCTATTACTAGGATTTTCAACCCACGTGATTTGCATCACAAAGTAAATTTTCAATCATCCTTAGGTGTTGCCATATGTACCATGGCGTCGCCTTTCTACATCCATATCATGCAAAATAGGAATTCATTTGAAAATGACTTAGATAATGACCACGGTGCAAAAGGTAAGAATTGCTATAAGAACACAAACTATGGCCACAACACTCATTTAATCTTTTCTTTGTTTTACAGTAATAAGATCTTTGTAAATTTACACCACTTAATTTTTAATTTCAAAAAAATTGAAGTTCCCTTATAAAAATTTTATACCCTGACCACTCAACCTTACCTAAGATTTGACAAATTCTCATCCTGCCAGCCTTCAAGAATTTCATCTTATCTAAGGAAAATTAAGATAGCAGACTGAAAGTAAGGATGCATTTCATACCACCAAAGATGTGTGCATTGAAAGATATCCTATAATCCTTGAGTGATGCTGTTCGCAGATCTTTTTTCCGTCCTCGAGTGATAAAAATGATGGAGAGAATTGCCAGAAACACTGCTGCAGTAGAAGCAGACAGCATAGTTTTGTCCACATAACTACCAACCAACGAATTTGCTATCACTTGGCTACTGATGAAAGATGCAGATTCAGTGAATGTCATTAACCAAAACAAGTCATTCAATGTGTCTTGCCTGTACACTAGCTGCAAAGAAATACATGTTTAGGATCTGGAACAGGACCGGCCAGTTTCAGGTAATAGAGCTTCCAACACCAAACATGCGGCCAATGTCTAATCCAAAATTGAAAACTGGTTTTTTAACACAAACCTTGTCATGCTCAACCACCATCCATGTCTCAAAACTGAATGAAAAAATTGAACTGGCAAGTGAGAGACAGATACTTGCTAACCAGACACTTGGATATGCAATAATTCTCTTCCACACTCCAACAAAGAGGTGCAGCATGCAAAATATCAAACAAACTTTCTTTTGACCTCTGCATTAAATGATAAATTGCACTATAACTTAGCAGAAAAAACAAAACATTGAAAATGGATACAGTTTAGTAGTATACTATGCCTTGTAACCCCCAAATTAGAAAGCATTTCAATAGAAATAGCACTCAATGAAGTGATCATACCGTAATCAGTAAAGCAAGAAACACAAGACAAGTTGTGTAGTAGTAGCACACACAATAGCTCTATAACTTATCAGTAGAAGCTACAGGCATGAATGCTGGTGAGAAGGTTATCAACTTATTATGTTGAAATAACAACACAAAAGAACCTGTGCAATCTTCTTGGCGAGGCAGAATTGCATACAAGCAGAGTACACAGTCCAGAAGTATATTTAATTAGTTTCGAACAAGCTATCATGCATTTTGAAATCATTGCCATGCCATTTCGTGAATTTCTTGATGTTATCACCTACTTATTCACTGATTACTCCTGATATTGTGAATAATCTCTAAATAACCTGAAATTTTCCAAAAAATACAGAAAATGCTTTGTTTGCTTCGCAATTCAAATCAACCATCTCACTGATTTTGTTATTCCTAGGTGTATGCATTTGCAAGAATGAAGTATATATGTATTAGACCACAAACCTATTAACTTTGCATCAAACAAAAAATAAAAATAAAAGAAGAAGAAACAAGAAACCACAGGCAACAACAATATGCACTTACATTAAATCAGAAAGCATGCCTAAGAAAGTACCAAGGAAGAGAGCAGCTGCATAACCAACACACAGAGACAACACCATTTGCTCCCTACCAACACCATAATATGACAACTCATACTCTCCAAACACTGACCACAGCCCTTCCATCACTGAGAGAAACATAGAAGAAAAAAAACAAAAAGATAATCAGAAACTGATAAGCAACTAAAGCAAGATCAAAATCTAGGCTTTTCGCTTAATAACAAGTATATTGAGCTTTTAATTTTTTAAATCTCATGTTTTCTTTCTCATTTTTTCATTATTTTTCTCATCAACCAAACTGAATGGCACTCTTTAGAAACGTACAATGCAGACCTGAAGAGAGAGAATAGAGGAGAAGAAAACTTCTCTGGAAACGAAAGAGAGAAGAGGGAAGAGAGTGATCGAACGGAGTGCGAGCGAGAGTTCTGTTGGAATTCGACGAGAGCTGAGGTAGACAGAAGATTGAGAGGGAGCAGGATACTAATATGAATACATATAGCGCCCGATTCGGTTCCCATACGTCGGTCACGATGGTTACTCCCATTGTTTGGGAAGAGAGAAAATTAGGGGAAATTTTCCAGATCCCAAAACCCTAGTTCGGGAAATCGAACTGGTGCTTGCGGAGAGAGAGAAGTGTCTGAAACAGCTTTACGCGTATCCTCGGTTCATTTTGAAATTTAGGCAAGTGTCTCTTTCACGTAAATTAGAAAAATCTTATAATCATCTCAAAAAGTTAATAATACATACGGCAAATTACATAATACATACGGCAAATTACATATACCTTGATATTTGATTAAATTATAAATATCTTTAAAATTTAAAAAATTATAAATTTTTTTCTAACTGCTATATTTGCATAATAAATTAAGAAGTAATTTGTTATAAAATATAAATTTCAAGGGACAAATTACTATGAAAATACAAACTTCAGTAGGTGAGATGTAATTTCTGAAACTTCAGAAGAATATCTATAATTTAACCAAACCTCGAGAGAGATATATGTAATTTGGCCTAATACATAATGAAAATTAAACCTAAGATCTCGAAGGAACACACTCACGCCCTAAGTTATATCTATAAAGGCAAAGTCTTGGGTTCACTTGCAATTTTTCATCATAAACTTCAAAATATATCCCCTTCAAAATATTATACAATCCTTTTCTTTTTTTTTAAGTTAAGAATCTATTAGTAATTTATAGAAAAGTGGTAAAACTAGAGCTGTAAATAAACTAAATTGTTTACTAACATGCTCGACTCGGCTCGATTTAACTCGTTAAGGGTTCGGTTCGATTCATTTAGTAAACGACCTGAGTTCAAGTTCGAATATTAAACTCGTTTAGTAAATAAGGCGAGTTTGAGTTCGAATAAGTTTGGCTTGTCAAGTTCGACTCGTTTATCTTTATTTAAATTATATAATAAATATATTATTTATATATTAAATAATATGTAAATATATAAATAATAGTATAAAATATTAAATAATATAAATAATATTAAAAAATATCTTATCGAATAAAACGAGTTTCATTAATATTAACAAGTCAAGCCGAGACGAGTTCAAGGTCAAGAAACGAACTCTATAAGCAAATGAGCCGAGATTGAGCTTAACAAAACTCAACTCATTTACAGTCTTAGATAAAACATGGCTACAAAACAAAACTAAAAAGAAGAGTTTTTTGCTAATTAAAGTAAAAAAAATCTTGGAGTTCTTATGAAATTTGAAAATATTGAAAGCGATCTTAGGGATGTTAAATTGGGTGGATGAATCTTTACTTTCTATAAAAGATTAAGGGCTGGTTTGGTATCATCTACAAAAGTTAAAAAATCACTAAAAAAGCAAAAAAGTTCACACTGTTTGGTGGGCAGTCTGTGGGTTCAAAAAAAAAAAAAAAAAAAATAGTGCAGCATAGTGCTGCAATACAATTTCTCTACATGCAATACATGGCTCAATGTAAGCCACACATTCCCATAGAAAACATAAATTGAAATGCACAGACAGCCTGTTGCATGTGTCAGTAGGGGCAATTCTGTCACGACCCGCTCCCCGTACCCAAGGGTTAAGTATCGTGATGGCCAGTAACTGAAGTTACCTACGGCCAATTCTTAACCAAATAAATAAACACAAGCAGAAGAAATATTTCAGTAAGGGTACCAAAATAATCATTGGAGCTTCTATTTTTATTAAAAAAAGTATTGACCAAAAAGGTCGATATTTACATATAAAAAAAGTGCTATGTATGTCTATTCCGCAACCTCGCATCTAAGACTTTCCAAAAGCTATTTCAGAATTGCATGTTTCCTGAAAATTGGTAAATAACTATAAACACATGGCACAGTGAGAAATATTATGCCAAGAGTATAAGGGACACGAAATAACCATGGATAGTTAATTAGGCCAAAACATTTATATAAATAAGTCATTTGAGTAGCAGAAATCATTTGAATAGCAGAACTGAAATACATAGATTATGTAAGTAAATAGCCATAACCACAGAACAGAACAGAAGTCACAGAAGTGACAGTCAGAACAGAGATACGGATTCAAGAGGTGGCTCGTACGGATTCTAGAGGTGGCTCCCACAATAATGTAGCACTTAGTTCCGCACAGCACTTTGGTCCACACAAAACAGAGGTCAGTGGATCCATGATAAACAGAGGACCACAAAGTGGTCAAACAGAGGCCAATAGTTATTTAAGTCCCTCAAGGCGTATGACTCCTGTGGTGGTACTTACAAAACATAATTGTATATAAGGTCATAGCCAAATATTCTTTAAAATATAAACAGACATATCTATGGGTTTCCTTTTAAGGAAATAGGGTTTAGAAAATAAACCACGTAACTGAAACTTTTATGAAACATAACTTTTATTAAAAACATAACTTGTATAAAACAGATTTTGATAAGTTAAAACATACGTAAAACACATTTTGATAACTTAAGACATAATATAACTCACCTTAACTTTAATATATTACACTTTTTCTTTTAATTATTAAAGGCCCTTTCACCTTTCACCATTTCTTCTTCTTTTCTCTCCTCTCTTTTCTTCTTTCCTTTCTTTCTCTTTCTTTTCTTTTCTTTCTCTCTTTTTCCTTCTTCTTTCCGTTCTCTCTCCCGGCGCCTCCGTATTTATAGAGGAAAAGGCGCTACGTGGCAGATTTCAATAATAATTACAAAGATTTATTCTTATATTTAGTGGATATTTAAGATAACAATCTTTTAACTTAATATTTTAATGTAATTATATAGATAAAATAATTATTAATTAAATTACATTTTATTATATACTAACAAATATTAATTATTTATTTTAATACCACACTCATTATTATTATTATTAATATTATCTATATTATTATTATTTATATTTTGACCCTTAAATTTTTAATAATTATATTATTTTAAAAAATTAAACATAATAATATATAATAAATTATATATTTTCAGAACTGAGATTAAATAATATTAATATAAATTTTACAGAATAATTAAAAATCTGGGTTGTTACAAATTCGATAATTTTGTTAGTTGATATAATATTTTATTACACATTTTTTTTATAAAAAATCAAAAAGTTATCCTAAATATACATATTTTTTTCTTCTACTTTTTTAGCAAAAAAATCAAAAAGTACACTTATATAATTCATCTCAAACAATCCCTAAATTATGTGTAAAATATATAATACATTTATTAAAATTTTAAAATAATAATGTTTTTATTTAGTAATCTCGTTGGCAAATTAGTGATTCCATTTGCACTTTGTCACTAGAATAAGATAGATAAAGTATAAATAAAATCATCAAATAAGAATATTATTATTTTAAAACAATCAATAATATTTATTATTGTTCTAAAAATTTAATAAATGTGTCATGTACTTTATACATGATATGATTTTTTTAAAAAAAATTTAACAAAAATAATTAGTTTTAATAAAATAATACTTAAAGAAAGTTAACGGCTGAGTTTTGAAATTTAAAAAAGCAAAGTAGAAATGAGTGATAATATGAGGAGAATGACTGTAATTTACCTTTATTTTTATTGATCTGCTACGATGAATTTGGGCCTCAGCTTATCAGTCCAGACCTTTGGTGTCTGGAACCAAATGGGTTACTCATGTGGGCCTGTGGAGGTACGAATGGGCTAGCAAGGAGCGGTCTCCCTCTACTCCTGGATCACTGAACTGGACCTATATCCCAACTTTTACACTGGGAATGGGTGATTGGTGAGAAATAATAAGAAAGAAAATTATTTTCCTATATGTTTGGTTTATAAGTTGAGTGAGAAAAGATGAGAAATTGTAAGAAAAATAACTTTTTTACTAAGCCTATTTCATTTTTCACTAAAAGTAGTGAGATTTGGTTAGAAATAATTTGCTCCTTGAAAAAAAAAAATCTCACTCATATTTCTTTCTTATATGATGTATTTTCTTACTCATCTAATATGAGAGTGAGAAAATACAATAATTTTTTTTTTTCTTTTTCACCTAAATGAAACATCCTAATCAATTTTTTTTTTCCCCACACCCTATCACATGTCCCATTTCTGATAGAGGAGTTTTGTTTGGTTATAGTTTTTAGAAAATAGTTTTCAAAAAAAATTATTTTTTTATTTTTCGTATTTTAATGTTTTCCAATGATTTTTTTAATATTTTAACAATTTTTTTTAAATTTTTAGACATATCTAACATAAATACACTTAAAAAGTATAATATTTGTGAAATTTTTTTTAAAAAATACACTAAATACAAAAAAATACAAAAAAATTATGAAAATTCAGTACACTTTTCATATTTTTGTGTATTTATTAATTTTTTAAAATATTTTCTCACAAATATTTTACTATTTAGATACATCTAAGTAAGGTACATCTAAAAAAATAAAAAAATTACTTACAATTTTAAAAATATTTACTAAAAATAAAAAAAAAATACAAAAAATAAAAATTTAATTTTTTAAAAAATTAAATTCAGAAAACTAAAACCAAACACTCTAATATCAAGAGAATCAAGCTAGGACCTTTGTAGGCTCATCAAGTCTATTTTGAGGGAGTGCCTACGATTCCCTGTATACACAGTAATTTTACTTTGTCGAGCTTAGTTAGGGTCCGTTTGGGAAGAATTAAAGTGGACTTTTTTGACTATTTTAGTCACAAAAGACAAAATAAGCTATTTTAACGACAAAAAACAAAACATCACATCCAACCCATAATCATTACACTCTTCTCTCACAAAAAAAGTCAAAAAAGCCAAAAAACTCTTCCCAAACTAAGCTTTTTAGCCCAGGCTAAAATAGCCAAAAAACCAACCCACTTCCCAAACGGAAAAAAGCCAAAAAACTCTTCCCAAACTAAGCTTTTTAGCCCAGGCTAAAATAGCCAAAAAGCCAACCCACTTCCCAAACGGAGGCTTAGGCTTTTCTTGCCTGGCTCCACAACAGATAATGTGAAACCGTATTTTCATATAATAAAAATAATATATATATTTTTAACTTTCTTAAATAATTATTCACAATATTTTGAATTTAATAATATATATATTTTTATACTAAAAATTTATTCAAAATAAAATAAAATAAAATATTTTTAATTTTATATTATTACTCAATATTAATTTTTGAACCTTATGATATTTTTATTATATTTTTCTCTATATTTTTTTTTTGTAATCAAATTACATTGGAACATAATATTTTCTGTACTAAAACCCAATAAAAAACTATGGGTTTACTCCCGATGTTTTCTCACCTCCCACTTTCTACGTGCAATCATTTTCTGTGACAAAAGAAAATGTGATGGATATACGGATGCTATACACCTCCATTCTTTTTAATTTCTCTTCATTTTTATCTTCTCTTACTCTTTCTCATTTTTTTCATAAATTAGGCTCAACTTTTCCTCACATTTTATCATCTTTTGCTTCATTGCTTCATCTTTCTCTCTCTCTCCGTTTCATCTTTCTCTATCTCTCTCGATTCTCTCTCTTTCTCTCCATCTCTCATTCTCCAAACTCTCTTTCTCCTTCTTTATCTATGTTTTTCCTCCTCTCCCAAACCCCATAGCCACGGCCTTAACCCACACTATTACCAACCCGCGAACTTCTCCACCACCGGCACACTGTCGGACCGCCGCCACCACCATCACCTAATTCCATTATCATCTAGAACCACCATCTACAAGATCTATAAAAAAAATAAATTTAAATTATTATTGTTAAAAAGTCCTAAATTTTTAAGCACTGATTACAAAGACGCCAATTATGCCTACCAATCGACATCCTAAGCCTCCGTTTGGCAAGAGCTTTTCCAGGCTTTTTTGGCTATTTTAGCCACAAAAAACAAAATAGGCTATTTTAGCTAACCCACACTATTACCAACCCGCGAACTTCTCCACCACCGGCACACTGTCGGACCGCCGCCACCACCATCACCTAATTCCATTATCATCTAGAACCACCATTTACAAGATCTATAAAAAAATAAATTTAAATTATTATTGTTAAAAAGTCCTAAATTTTTAAGCACTGATCACAAAGACGCCAATTATGCCTACCAATCGACATCCTAAGCTTATTAAGTTCGTTCTCACAGGCTAAAAATTCAAGCACCTTTTAAATTGACCATTCATTCCATGTAATAACTAATTGTGCATTACAAAACACACTTCAACAGAAAATTCACAGAATATTTTAATTTTAACCACTAAAATGAATTATCAAACAGCCATAACATGCATTTCTGCATTCTTCTGACTATCTAGTAGGAGTTCTGTCATCTCATGCTGGCTAAATGTGTTAGCAATGATAATAATAATAACATTAACAACAACATGAGGGAAAACCAAAAAAATAATGTTCATTAACATCAATATTCAAAAAATATAAAGCCCATTTGACACAATAATTTAGTATCACAAACTTTCATTAGCGACACTGTAATCTATTTAATCTATATTTTCAAACTTTCCAATGTTCTTATCCTATTTTAGAAGAGACAATTTAAACTTCTCATTTTGTTTTATGTTTTGCAAGAAGACACAGGAACAGCAAACTGGATGCATGTATTTGAATCGCTAATTATAGCCACCAAAAATATCTATATACGTACACACACACACACACACACATATATATATATAAAGAAACAGAAATTTTTCTTTAATCCAAATTATCAAATCTTTCCCAGTAAACCCCATGAAAACCAGGGTTATGAATTCCAGGAATTAAGTTACCATATAGACACGTGACTAGTTCTTCATTTACACAGAAAAGCACGATATATATATATATATACTTGATTATAGCTGCAACTGAAGCTTTGAATACTTGAACCAAACTCCTAATCAAAGTTTCCCATTGTTGTAGAAGCAAACAGCAAAGGATGTCACTCTTTCTCCTGCATATCAAAGCCCAACCGAGTTACTGAATGAAAAATTGTCATTTTCAGTAATTTTGATGCTACAACATGAGCCACCAAACAAATAGCTAAAACCAAAAAATGGAAGGGCAAAATGGGTAAAGGCAAACAGTTCATCCAGTTACCGAAAAAATTTCAGTCTTTGATCAAGGTTAACTGATCCCACTAAAACTTCTAAAAATAGTTGGGTTTATACAAAATTTCGAAGGTTTGAAATATTTACAATCAGCTTCGCTAAATTCTTTAAAAATTAAAAGGTGGCAATCTTAACCACAAAAGGGTGATGAAAAGTATCACAAATAGAACAAGAAGTTTAAAACCAATTCAAAGAAGGTGATCATTTGTTTGAAGTGATTGGAACCATGCATGGATTGTGTGTCAATCTAAAAGAACAAAAATGGAGGTAGAAAGGAGATAACCACTTGCAGGAGTTTCTTCTTCAACCCAATAAATAAAAAAGCAAGTAAAATAAGTCTCCAACTCTAAATTTCTTCTGGCGGTTTAAAATTTGTCCAATTTTTTAGTATTTAAAAGAAAATATTGTTAACTCAATTTTGTAATTTTATTTACATTTGTTTAGTTAGTTTATAGTTCGGTTAAAAAAATTATTAGCTTTATGAGTTTATCTATACAAGTGGTTTGGTTGTGATAAACAGAACAGATCCAGTATTATGATACTTTTGATAGACATTAGACAATGATAAAAACCACTCCACAATAGCCTAAGTACCCATAAGAACCAAGTTATGAAATCATTACAAAATTAGTTTTTTTAACTCATGTGCCCAATTCCCACACCACAATAGAAAAATTCTCTGTATGTTTTCTCTTCAAGTATGATGAACTGTCTATTTATATTAATATAGTTAGATAAAGGTTCATATAATGTTAAAATCTTCCACATTACCCATGAGAAAATGAAAAAGATGGAAGCTGCAATACAGTATTCGAAAAAATAGAAATACGAGAAAGAGCAACAGAACACTGATAATGAATCATGAAAATATAAAATGTGAGAAGAAACACTAGATACCTTAACCCAGTAAAAGGTTTCTAGAAATAAAGAAAACAGAGATACTGTTTTGAGCTACTACATTCTTGCCATTTAAAACTGGTCAACAAAAAGCCAAAAGGCAATAATGATGACAATTTTTTTTTTGTGTCTCACTAAAAGTAGACATCCAAATGCATATCCATATTGGTAAGGATGTTATGTAATGTACCATTCCATGCAAGAAGATTCGAAAACCTATTGAAGGCAATTCATTGGCAGTGAACTATGTATTACGATAACAAAAAAAATGTAAATGAAATTACATGAAGAGAACTACCAGTCCAAACCTATAGCATGAATGGTCTAATTTATCTTATGCTGTTTCCCAGGAGGAATTGTAATAAGCATTTCAAGAAGAGATCGCTAGTACATGGTCAATTTGCAATGCAAATAATCTTTTGACTAATACCATACAGAATATGTTCATCATCAACATGCATGTGTCAAAGACTATAAGGCTTAACACCAATCATGATTTGTGAACATATCTAATACTATACAGCAAAATTACAATAACAAATGAATCCATGTACATACTTTGTTTGTGATGTTTGAAAGCTCAACACTAATCATCCTGCGTTCTTCATCACAACAAGGCTTCAGTTCTTCCGCCAAACTGCATGAAAGGTAAGAGAAAGAAGTAACAGATAAATTAAACTAAACCAACAGACAAAAACCAATCTTTAAACCCATTAGGCCATTACGACTTGTTGAACAAGTCTCTAGAAAGTGAAATTAATTTTTACCTTTCATTTTTTGTACCAGTTTGCTTATGTAAATTGGAAGGTAGATTAGTATATGATCTTCCATCTGAGAAAATCTGTTTACCATCCTGTGGCAAGAGTTATTCAAGAAATACAATTACCAATTTTCAATGTAAAAATTATTCAAAAGTAAAGAAGCAATAGATGCTGAAGGAAAATACTCCTTTTGTGTCATCCCCCATCCATCCAGGAATGCTCCTTGACAAAAGGGTTATATATTGCTCCATAGCCACCTCTCGGTTCATGTCCCCAAGCTGTTGCCAAGTATTCCTAAGACAATATAACCAGTTTGCCTCATTAATTACACAAAGAAGCTGCAAATCTTATTATCAAAACTAAAAGCCAATTACACACCAGAATATAAATAAGGAATAAGGATGAGCAATAACGTAGTGTACAAGTAAAGTCCATTTGCTTTATACCTACCTTAACTTATGTTATGAGTTTGTAATTGGGAGAGGTTAGTATGAGAAAAGGCAAGTAGACATGATGAACCCAACTCTGTGATTTGTTCTCAGAAGTAAAATGGATTAAAAACTTGAGAAAGGTAGCCATTTTTAAGCATTCCTTTCTTCTTTTCATTCACTCAAAGATTCATGTAGAGCCTAAACCATAAGGAACCATAGGAATTCATCTAAATTTTTTGTTGAACATCATCTTGGCATAATAAGGGATCATTTCAGAGTCAAGAATTATGAAACTACTAGGTAACAAATAATAATAATAAAATTAATAATAAAGTAAACATGCACATATAAGTTGGTTTTTAAAAATTTAAGAGTCATTTTCCTGTTTAAGAAACCTAATAAGTATGTCCCATCCTATCAGATTGCACCCATGTCAATCTTCAAACTTCTCAACTAGTCCGCATTGATTATCTTTCCAAGATTGAACCTATCAGCCATAGTTCTATTCCGAGAGTCTGCGCTTAATCATCCTAATACCAAATTATGATTTTTTTTTTCTTTTTTTAATTATCATTCAAGTCTACTAGTTTAGTAAAATCCAATCTCTCTCTCTCTCTCTCTCTCTCTCTCTCATACCTTCATTATCAGCTCTGTTTTATTTATTCACTATTTGTTATACATGTACATTTGGTAAGCATTAGAATAAAAACAAACTAATTATTTACATAACCCATTATATTCAAGAATCAGAGGCGAAGCTTACTACCACTTTGCACGAGCAGAGACCTTCAATGCCATCGGCTGTGGCACGCAACAAGGCCCTTCAATGGCAACCTTATGAAGCCCAATTAACTGCCTCTTCGTATCACTATCAATGCTCGAAATCCGATCAGCATTGTTCTTAGAACCAACAAACACCACCGCGGCGCCAAATCGCTTGTCCAGCTCTGTTCTCTCTATCCCCTCCCAGTCATCAAATAACCCTTCTTCTTCTTCTTCTTCTTCTTCTTCTTCTTCTTCTTCTTCTTCTTCATTCTCACTGCTCTCTATGCCAACACTCTCATTCCCCTTATTATCGTCACTCTCCAAAACCCTAGCCTCTTCGTTTTTCTCCTCCTCCACGGCCGATTCTATCCCAATTTCTCGAAAATTCGCTCTCTCTGGACTTTTTTCAGCTAGGTCGTCCGATTCTATCCCGATTTCACGAAATTCGTCTCTCACGTAACTTTCATCAACCAAGTTCTTCTCTTCAAGTTCCTCGGTAAAAACACTATTTTTCGAACCCTTATTTTGCGAAACTTGTTCACTATCATCAATCTCATCATCGATTGTTTCAACCCTAGACTCTTCCTCTTCGAGTTTGTTAAATTTAACTGCTTTATCCACAAAACAAACTCTTCTCTCGCTTTCGGGTTCCCAAATTACCAATTTTTCGCTGCAAAAAGCTGATTCTTCGACCGACACCGACACCGATACCGACACAGACACAGAGTTGTCTATAGTGTCATCATCATCATCACAAGACGACGCCATTGAAAATATCTTGGTGAAAAAGAAAGAGAAGAGGAGAGAAAGAGCGACAGTGAAGAGGAGTTCTTGAAAAATCTCCATTAATGGATAGAGAGACAGAGAGAGAGAGATGCGAAGAGTAGTGGAATTTGGGTTATTGTTGATTAGAGAGAGAGAGGGGGGGTTTTGCAGAGCAGAGCAAAGTATCTTCCGGCTTGGCTTTTGCATTCAGCTTCCACATTTGAATGTCGGTCCCACTTTGTTTGCGAAAGATCGGAAAAGAGGGGGGGCAGAGGTGTCCGAAAAGGACTGCCTCACTTTCCTCGTTATGACGATAGAGATAGATTTGGGCCCGTTTGGCCGAAGAATCCCGCTTTTATATGGTTTATTTAATTTCTGAATACCTAATTTATGTTGAAGGGATTTGTGAAAAAAAAAAAAAAAAAAAAAAAAAAAAAAAAAAAAAAAAAATGGGTGAAAGGGGGCACATAATTATATTGTCATTAATTATTTTTATTTTTTATTTTCAGATATTTCCTGAGTAGCAGTTTGCTTCTTGTGGAATGCAGCCGTGTGAAGATTGCGACGGACTTTTGTTTTTTTAACCCACGGAAGAATTATGAAGAATACTTTTATTTTTGATTTACGTTATTTAGATTTGTGAACAACATTATGTATGTATTATGCAAAATTATGTGGTTGGATAATTTTGATGATGTGTTGTTATGAATGGAAGAGTACTTTAATTATGGATGAAATTTTATTTACATACAGGAATTTTTATATTATTATATAATTATCGATTTTTTTTAGCGATTTTTATTTAATACAGGTAATTTGTATATTTTTAATAATTTTATTGCAGCAGTTTTGTTAGAACCAGGTTTTTGCGACGGTAGCGTAGCCGTCGCCAATGATGTTGGCAATATTAACAAAAGGCCTTTAGCGACGGTATTTTCACCGTCGCAAATAATATTTTAGAGACGGCACATTTTTCTGTCGCAAATAACAGTATTAACGGCGGCATTAAACCCGTCGCAAATAACCATTTTAGTGACGGTATTTTTACCGTCTCAAATAAACCCTTTCACGACGGTATTTTTCCGTCGCAAATAACCATATTAGCGACGGTATTTTAGTGCCGTCTCAAAAACTTCAGATTTTTACACATTAATTGCGACAGTATTTTGCCGTCGCTAAAAGACATTTTTGCCGTCGCCAATATTTTGCGATGGCGTCTTACCGTCGCTAAAGACCTTTAGCTACCCTTTTTTTTGCGACCCCCCTATTTCCGTCGCTAAAAGCTATTTACTGTCGCAAAAAAGCTTTTGAGACAGCTTTTTGGGTATTGGCGACGGTATTTTACCGTTGCAAAAAAATGAATTTTTTGCAGTGGATCAAGAAATATCCTCTCACATGAATTGTAGAGATCCGATGAATGGATGAATTTTGTCTTGATAGACCTGCAAAGATGAGCATGATCGGCGCCACCCAACCGGGGTTGTCGGCCGGAGACACTCCGATGGTGAAGTCAGTCACTTGATAAACAGAATGAAAGTCTAAAAAATGTAGAGTGCTTGGTGTATAGTGTAGAGAGAGATCACTTCCCTTCTCTTCTGGGAAGCCCCCCTTTATATAGATGGAGGGTGTGATATTTATTTGAGCTGGACCCATTATAGGCCTTGTTTGGGTTAACCCAAATAAACTGATATATTTTTTTTTCTGGCTCCCACAATTGCCCCAAAACTTTCATTGTCTGCGATAGAAGGAATACGAGTTTTTCTTGCCGAGTTACGTTGTTCAAATAGCTGTTAGGTTTTTTGATAAAGAACATTTTGGATAAATGAATAAAATGTATGAATAAATGACTGCATGTATGCTTGAACGTATGTATAAATGTACGTATGTCTATCATAGGATGGAGAGGTAAGCTAAAACCTAGAAAGGAATATAAACAAATCATAACGATGGGCCACGGTATTGTTACCCCCAGGCAAGGACCGTAGGCCGTGGTATTATGACCCCCGGGTGAGGGTGTAGTATATCACCGAGTGCAAAGAGCGCTTCAAAATATGGACTTTCGTACCGAGCTAGAGATATTTCTATGTGCCGAGCACGAAAATGATTACCTGAACCAAATAATGTAGATTAAATAAGGTAGATATAGTGGCCAAAAAATGGACCACGGTATTATTACCCCCAAGCGAGGGTGTAGACCTGCAGTATTATAACCCCCAGGAGAGAGTGTAGGCCGCGGTATTCTAACCCCCGAGCATGGGTGTAGGCCGCAGTAGTATAACCCCCGGGCATGGGTATAGGTCGCGGTATTATAACCCCCGGAAGAGGGTGTAGGCCGCGGTATTCTAACCCCCGGCAATGGGTATAGGCCGCAATATTATAACCCCCGGGCATAGGTGTAGGTCACGGTATTATAACCCCCAGGAGAGGGTGTAGGCCGCAGTATTCTAACCCCCAAGCATAGGTGTAGGCCGCAGTATTATAACCCACGGGCATGGGCGTAGGCCGCGGTATTATAACCCCCGGGAGAGGGTGTAGGCCATGATATTCTAACCCCCGGGCATAGGTGTAGGCCTTTGTTGATGGCGTTTCGTGCCAAGTGAGAAGATTACGCTGTACTCGAAGACTTTTATTGATTTTAAGTGGCGATCAAGTGCCAATATTGCAAGGATTTTGAATGATGCATCCTGGCAGTGATGGCCTATTTAATTCCCGAGTAAATGTTGGGCCAATTAGTATTGGCCGGTTTGCATTTTGCATTTAGTCCAATGTAGACTTGTCCCATTGATTTCGAATGAGAGGTGTTTGTCAGAAGGAATACATATTGGACTAGCCCCACTGCCCTATGGTGTGGGCAAAGTCGGCTCTAGTAAAATGATGGCGCGCAAAAATATGCAAATTGCCGACTGCCAAGTGTGTAATATATTGCCCCAAAACTAGCGCTTGCTTGGAGCGGTGTGAAAAGGAGCGGAAGTTTGTAACTCCAGTAAATTTTGTTATAATGTTGGTACCAAGTTGGCCGAGTATAGCAGAGGTACCAAGATTTTGATCGGCTGAGATGCCCCAATGGGAAAGCGGGAAAATGACTAAGAAGCCTTAGTGGGTAAGAAAATGGCCAAGGTAATGAAGTGGTTGATCGGGGAAGATGGAGGTTTATTTCCTAGCCCTAAGATCTTGCTGCTAAAATTGCATGCCAATCGGATATGATTTGACGGTTGATCTTGCATTTAATGTTCCCAATTGGATGATGTATTGATCGGAATATGTGACTCAGAATTTGCAAAATTAGACCACTCGGATGTGTTCAGAAGGCTTAAAATAGCTGGAAACAACTGTTGGATCGTTGGAAGCTGACTCCTAATGACGAAGTGGTAGCCCAAAAAAAACTGATGGCTCAGATCAGTTGAGAATGGTGCTCTGCGAAGCACTGGATAATTGCTCATATATTGCTGAGTTAGACGGCTTGGCTTGGTGGCTTAGCAAAAATTAAAAAGAAAGTTGTTGCTGGTGAGAATTGAACTCTTGTTCTTGGAACGAAAGCATAATTCTAAATCACTTTGCCATGACATTTGAATAAAATCTGCAATTATTATTATTATTATTGTTAATCATATTATTTAATTTTGATGATGTCTAAAATATATTAGTTAATCACTTTGCCATGACATTTGAATAAAATCTGCAATTATTATTATTATTATTATTTATTTATTTATTTTGGAGTTGAATTTGCAAATTTTGACCGTTCGGATGGGCGCCAAAAATGCGTCAAATAATTGGAAATGACTATTGGATCGTTGTGATGGGAGTCCAGATGGCTTAGATTTCACTAAAATAGAATACATGGTTTAGATCAACCAATTACAACGTAACTGCAAAGTACATGATGATTTCCCAGTTGCTTGTTGGTTCTTTTTCTTCGACAAAACATTGGATTTTCTGGGCAAAGTTGGACGGGTTCGTACGACTTCGTTTTAGCACCGATTTTGACGCGGTTTATTGCGTTGGATTCGTCTTGATGAGTACTTCACATTGGAATGATCAAAACTTGATTTCGACAACTTTGAAAATTTTAGTGTTCATAAAATGTGGTCTATTTTGGCTCCTCAGGTTAGTGGGTTTGGATTCCTTGAGTTGACGTGAATCCTCTTGTTTATTCAGATGTTGATTTTGGCAAGCCGAGATGCTAGTTCTATGTCGAGATAATAAGCATGAGATTTTGCCGCAGAGGTAGATAAGTTTATAATTGTAGTTTTGTGTCGAGAATGTCCAATGCTATGGAGCATGTCACTGTGTGGCCAAGCAGTATTGCCGAGTAAGCAATGAGCCAAATGTTAAGCAATGTTAGCTGAATAATGTTGTCAAGTAAGCAAGGAGGATGGCATAGTGTAGGCAAATTTAAAGCTGCCGTGATTGCCAAAGAAGATAGACGGGATGATCATTGTTGAGTATGGTGATGGATTTATGGAGCGACAACTCATTCAAAGTGGTAGCTACTCGGCATTACTGTGGCTTTGCCGATTGACCGGTGTTGGTGTGGCCGAGTAATGAGGTTTCACCGAATCATGATGTTGCCGAATTGTGGGTTATATTGCCGAATTGTCAAGCATTATATATAGTCACTATGCCGAGTAAGCAATCTCATCGGGCTTTATTGCTGTAATTTGACTCTTCGATATTGCTGAATAGGCGTACTTGTGATAGCTAGACCTTGAGTCTGAGCCTATGATCACTACATAAGGATTTTGTTGGTGACCCAACAAGCTTGTGATGGCTATTGTCAAAGATTTTGTTCATTGAAATGGACTACTCAAATAATGTTTCCAATGCTCCCGTTCAGCAACCTTCGTATTTGATGATCTTGCCGAATAATATTGTTGACCCAATCATAATGTTTCAAGCCATCTCTATGCAAACCTTAATAAAGTCCACACCTTTATGCATGTAAACTATAAGTTCATTAAATTATATTAGAGACAAAGATTTAGAAAACAGTAAACTTAAACAATATCAAGATCCACTCATTGTAATTAAAATTCTCTAGATTATTTTATTTTATGTTCAGACGCCTTATTCCGCTTTTGTTTGGATGCCATCGGATCTCCAAAAGTTGACCAATAAAATTGTGCTATTACTCTTTTTTTTTTGAGAGGTTCGGCTCTTGTCCTCTGTGCATGGTGTGGAAATGTGCTTCAGCAAGAGTTTGGTGTTTCACATTG